ACCCAAATAAATTTACCATCTCAATTACTAATATCGTTTGCTTTCTTTTAACATTTCAGCTTCTACACCCAAATAAATTTACCATCTCCATTGTCATTGCCCAGTAATAAACTTGACACCATTACAGTCTTCAAGTATTCTAATCCATCACACTAACTGTTTCACTAGGCCTTTTTTCAAGGTCACTATCAAAAGACTACGAATTGGCTAATGTATTTTAACCACGTGATTCACTGGAAAAGAAACTCTCAGATACTAAACCCACTAGATATGGATTTTTTTTTCGTTCGTGTGGCGTATTGTGTTATAGATGAAGAATACAATAGAAAATAGTAATACAAATCTTGGTGGTGGTATATTTATTTCATATTCGGCTGTATTTCGGTTCTTCTTTATTTTCCCTTCTCTTTTTTTCTCTTTCACTTTCTCCTTTATTCCCTTTCATTCTTGCTTTCTCTCTTTTTCTCTCCCTAACCCTCACTTTTCCACCCTTCCTCTCTTTTCTCTCACTCCTTTTCTTTCCTCCTCCCTCCCTTCCCTCTCACATCCTCCCTCCCTTTCTTTGTCTGCTGCCTGCCTCTCTCTCTCTCACACACCACCTCTCACCTCCCTCCTTCCCCTCTCTTTTCCCCCCTCCCTCCTTTCCTTTCGCTCTTCTATTCCCTTCCTTCCCCTTTCAATTCTCTTTCATCCTCTCTTTTTCCCTTCTCTCCTCTTCCCTCTCTCTCTTTTCTCCATGCATTCTCTCCCTCCCTCCCCTCTCTCTCTCTCTCCAGTTTCTCTTCTTCCTAATCTCTCTCTCGCTTTGTCCCTCTCCCCTCTCTCTTACACCGTCTTTCATCTCATACTATCGTTCTTTACTCTGAATGAAGCTTACATTCCATGCTTTAGAAAACAAACGAGCTAAAAAATATAAAATAAAAAAATAAGAGAGAGAGAGAGAGAGAGAGAGAGAGAGAGAGAGAGAGAGAGAGAGAGAGAGAGAGAGAGAACGGAAGATGAATAGAAAATAGAGAAATGAGTTAGAAATGGAGCATCAAAAATGCATGTCACAAGAGGATGGCAGCTATCTTTGGGGGGAAAGCTCCAAGGGTAGATATACTTACTATTTGGTGAAAAAGAATTGGGAAATACATGGTTGCATGCAAGGAATTTTCAGTGAATATGAATATGATTTTCAGTAAATAGAAACAAGTCTACCCCCTCAAAAAAAAAGAAAAAAAGAAAAAAAAAAAAAGGAAAAAAAAGATAAATAAATAAATAATAATAATAACGGCGAAATAATAATAATGATAATGACGATCTGCTACAAATGACACTTGAACACAATGAACATGCGTGAAATTCTATAAAAAAGAAAAAAAATGCACCTAACCTACTTAGAGATGGCTAAAGTTTATCCACAATGCTTATTCCTAAGATTCAACTCTCGGGCCAATCCTATACTGATATCCATTATGATATTCTCATACAAATTAGCCATTCAAAAAACAAGATCATTTTCTTCTGTGGCTGATTAACAGAATGAGCCAGAATTTCTTCAATATTTGCATGCAAGGACTTGAATTAACTGTTCTTTTTTATGGTCTTTTTGCATGTCACAACAATTTTTTTCTTTGTATGCACATTAATCATATATATTCTTAACTATTTAAGAGAGTAAAGAATGTGCAGAACGCAATTTAAATGACTGATCACTGCACTTGAGGAAAGCGAATAAAAAATAAATAATAATCATGCTATTAAAAGCTTCAGGAATAAAAAAGTGATAACCAAACAAAAAGCAAATACAAGTGACTTTTATAACTATTCCGTGTATGTTGAGACAAAAGCAACAAAACTTTGATCCTCACTAATGTTACCTCATTCCATACATCCACATACTTAGAGAAAGTTAAATGCTAAGACATATGCCATTATCAAGGGAAGACGAGAAAGGTGCAATGCCATGGAATATGGACGAAAAAAAATCTAATTCTAAACATGTTTCCCAAAATTCTCTCCGTCTAACAATAACAGTATTGATAACAACAATAGTAACAATAATATGGATAATGATAATGGCAATAATAGTAAAAACAATACTACAAATACTGCAGCGACTAATGCTCATAATAGCAATAAGAATAAGAATAATTATAATGAAAAAAACAACATCACACACAGGGCAATGAATTTTATATAGAAAGCGTTACACTGCTTTTATGTGGTTCTGTTGAGAATGAGGCTTACGTTTTATTAAGAAATCGGAAATCAATACTCATTTGCACCAGTATTTACCTTATATTTCTGCAGAAGTTTCGAAATAAGAAGACAGAAAAATCTAAACCCAAAGAGTGACCCAAACCCGGTGTTCGAAAGCTATCTAATTCCCTTCTTAGCCCGTGATATCACTATGGCGTATGGAACAAGGAATCGTTGTGGATAAGTTTTCTTTTATAAGGTTAAGGTAAGTCTTTATTAGATTAAGGTAACTGTATTTAAGGTGTAGAAGCCATGCAAAACAGTAACGTCCCCCAGGGTAAGAAACTTCAAGCCGTTAAGTGGCAACAAATTTGTCTTTAAATTTCTCTTTCCAGTTTTGGCAACGGCGGACCATCTTTCATACAGAGTAAAACAGGGGTTCCCAAGTTAGGGGCCATGGGATATTTTCTGTGGGGCCATGGAACAGTATGAAAATTATGACTGAATTAAACTGGATTCTGTTTCACCTACAGTACCTACTATGTTACCTACAGATAATCTCTCATGTAAATAAATTGGAATCGTTCCATATAGTGTTCTTGTCCTGTAGCTATTGACACCATTATACTGTTCATAATTAGTAATAACTGCATCTTTAAAGACTAAACAGGGCCAAGAAAATAACTGTATATTGGTCGGCAGCCACAGAATAGTTAAGGTTAGGAACCGCTAATTTAGTTACAGCCGTTCTCGCAATTCGGTAAATTTGGAAATGCAATCCTACACCTTTTTTGGGTGATTAGAATTTTTTCCAATAGCTTTCGTCGTGTTTCGAACGAATCTAGCACTCATTTCCTTCGCAAACGAAGCACAACTACGATATCGGTCTCGATAGCTGGGGATGGTATGATAGGCCTACATATCGGGGAATTTCTAGAAAGGTCGGCAGAATACTAGCAAGCATAGTATATTAATATATTTCCGGGTTATATAGGGGACTCCGACCCCGCCTGGTCTACAAAATCTTCACCTCGTATGTTCCGGCAGGAGAGAGCTCAGACCCAGGAACAGTTTTAACCTCATCTTACCTTAAACATTAACTCCAGGCTGCGGGTCACTGGTCGTCGGGGGTATTCCAGGTCGTTGTTGGCGGGAATTACGATCGCTTACAGGAAAGTTGCACCGCTTGCTTCGTTTGGTTTTAGGACCCTTTTCCATGCACCACAAACTCACTGGTGTCTGTCATTTCTGTAATGACACGATGTCTTACATTGCGGGCATTGTACTTCCACTGGCAGTACACCGTGATCTCGTAGATTTAGTAAGCTTGCTTTGTTAACGTTATATTTCGATGAAGTCGAGATAATGATTCTCACAACCTACACACTGTCTAGCCATGATGGAACTGATTTGAATTTCAAAAGGTTCCTCCTAGGCCCAGCTTCTATTGTCACGTGATGATCTATTCCATATCTGATTGGTTCTATTGAGTGTCTATGTTCACGTCACGTTCACGCACGAATCTAATTGGCTCATTTGATTTCCCTCGCATACGTCATCCGCTACGAATCCGTCCGATTTGACTTCGCTCTTAACGACTTTTTGTCATTTTGTCGCGGCGCTGGAGGCGGAAGGTTACTGCGGCTCCTGGAAATCGTGGATTTTATACCCTCTAAAACGCCGTTATTATCAATTTGCGCAGAAAATGGTATAGAAGAAAACTTTCATAGAATGATGTGTTCTACCACATGGTAAGTTCAGATTCTTTAAGTTAGGTTGTGGGGTTGTATTTCCAATAATACCCGCAATTCTTACATCGATAAATATAGCTGACGAATCACCTATTTATAAAACCATATTCTCTACTAGACTGTTGTTTCAGACAATAAACATTGCAGTTATTTCTTTCCAGAATTAGGTAGATTTAGAGTTAGAATGAGGGCATGTTTTGGCGAGCTGTGTTTTTTTTTTTTTTTGTGTACTTATGTGCTATCAGATGCACATAGTTCAGTCTGGAAGGATAGGCACACAAACACACATAAATGGAATACTAATCTTGCTTTTCTAATACTGCTACCCCCATAAATTCCTTGAGACTGCTGGAATGGTAAACAATTGATTTATGTAGGATTAATATATATATATATATATTTCTCCTGAGGTTTTTCCATTAGCACTGAAGAATGTGGTCTGATATTGGTACGAACGAGCTTCAGCATGTGGATTAAACCTACTTTGGCTTCAGAATTTGTGAAATTTAATTAGAAGTATTCACGTCATATTTTGGGATATTAACAAATAGCCTCAATATTATAAAAAAAATTTTGAGGTACATACCCCTTCAGTATTTACTAGATTAGCAAGGTTTAGCTTTCAAAATTAGCATGAATATCTGAAATTAGTCTCCAGTCTTCTATTTGGCTATAGAGTTAGTCTCAAGATAACAGTATTCACGAAGAGGAGAAACAAGAAAGTATTCGAATGTGCTGATGGCCTTTTTGCTTGTATTACTTCTTCTAGCCTATGTATTGAGGAACCAACACAGCGAAAAAACCTTCGTTCTTCTAGCTGCAGTAAGTTCAGCTTGTATCCAACACATTAATAATTTGCACCTCTTCCTTTTCGGATTGCAAATTCAGCAGCTGCATACATTCTTATGAACTCATATTCTTTTCGCATGTCAGTTACTATTGGTGTGAGTCTGGTATAGAAAACCTGTGCTCTCGAGATGGTTCGTATTATATATATGTTTTTATGGAAATGCCTTTTGATTCTCCCTTTAAAATTAATCTAAAACCTTTAATGGCATCTAATAG